TGTGTGGCTTTTCCTTCTAAGGATTTTGAAGGTCTAGGATTACCTTTCTCGTCAGAAATGTGAGGAATATAAGCAGTGTACCTTTCTAAGGATTTTTGCAGTTCAACTTTGCCTCTGATGTGGAAACTGGAAAGTCCTTTTTTGCCATATTTTATTTGCTTGTTCAGCACTGGTTTTTGCACTAATATCAGACGAGCAAATAAAATGAGGACATTGAGTGAAAAGACATTTCAAACCTTGAAAGTTTGTCTTTATGCTAATTTTTCTGTTCTCAATATTAAATTTTGACACTGCAATTTGACTGAATTGAATTTCACCATCATGTTACATTTACAATTTTTAATAATTTAGATAGTGTTGACGCATCATTGCCTGTTGTAGTTATTAAACGAATTTTTCTTATTCATGAATTCATCTTTTGGGATTTTCCAACCCAGCTAGTTTTTCAGGCCTCATGGAATTTTCAAGCCTCCAGATATTCTCGTGCGCCCATTTTTCCTGACTTGCAACAGGCTGACCCGCAGTCAGGCAACATTACAGCATTTTTTAAGAACATAAGAAAAATGTGGAAAAAATGAACAATACCCGAACATGATTCATCCAAGAATAGAAATACTGCAGGCAAAATTAGTTGCACCCATCGTTTCTGTCATTCACTATCACTGTGCTTCTTCACTGACTTTCAATACATTTCTGCAAAAATTTGAAAATATTTTGATAATGAGTCAATATTCCCAGAAAACTGGATTTATATATTCAATGATACAAGCACTTCAACTTGCAGAGGTTTGTACCACCTCAATTTCAGGAGGTGGGAATTCATAATCGTTGAAATCTGGGAGTGGGGCAAGTTCATCACGCTCCAGACGATTTGCTTTCACTCCTATCAAATATGCATCCGAACAAAGAATGTTCCACTTAAGTTGTCTTGTGGACTATCATAAAAGAAGCCTTTTTAGAAGCATTTTTAGACCAACTTATGGTCCCAGCAAGAAACCTATACCGAGGATGCCCGAAATTGTCACTCGGACTTTTTTTTTCATCCGCCGCATTTTCTCCTTTGTCACCCACTCCCCAAACCCTTTTTTATCCCTGGGCTTCCGACTTTCTGGGTACAAAGGCTGGTGGGCAGTCATCCCCAGAACCCAAACTCGTCCCTGTTTTATGGCTCTGTTCTGCTTAAATTGCTATTCGGCGCTTTTCTTTGAAGATTAGTTTTCTTGGGAGGCTGACAGGAAAAAATTGCTCGTTCGTCGTTTGAAACGGGAGACTAAATTTGCTATGCTCTGCTCATTTAGAAGGGGCTTACAAAAGTTCGCAACATCTTCCACTCATTCACATGTTGAGAATTCAAAGGTATTCATCACGTTCTAAATGCCCTTATGCAAGAGTATCCTTTTAATAAAATGCCATGGATGGAATAGAAAACCACCTTCAAATGGAAAATAATTCCCAAGCTTGTCAGGGATTGTTGGGAGATTCAACAATTTTCGCAGAATTCTTTTTTTTTTTTTATTCTTACTGGTTATATTACTGTTTAAAGAAAGTGTGGGGAAACACAAGGTACATTTATTTATAATGATTACCTCTGGTGTACAATCATCATAAAAATCAACAGTTGAAAGTCAGCTATCTACAAGAAATCGTGATCCCTGCTCATTCATTAAAGGTTTATGTGGCAACAAAGATTAGGAGGAAAAGTGTTCCAGTGAGGAATGTTGTGGATTAGATAAGTCAGGTCAAGTTCATGAAGTTCAACTGCACCAGAGATGCACACACACGCATGAATCACACAAAGCTAATCTACAAACTACAATTTGCTGAGACTTATTACATGAAAACTGATTATCTGAGTGGTTAATTTTCTTGATTCTTTTAATTCTCAAAAAGTGAAAGCAACTAAAACTCTTTGCTTAGAATTATATCTCAGGGATGCAAACATAGCTCGTATTCGATTTAATGATTTTAAATTGGTAAAATATTTTATTCTTTGAGTCTAAAGACTTTGGAAGAAGAAAAAATCAGATCCCACTCTTAGTATCTCAGTAATTGTTTATTTTTATTTTTTTCAGAATAATTCCATGGAACTTTAAACAACAGCTGAGATGTTTAAACATCATTCATAACAATTAGAAACACAGGAAAATGTTGCATTCACACTAAAAAAAATCTACCCAACCATGTATATAATTTCCAAAATAAACTCATATTTTTCATATTTACAAATTGGAAAATGTTGTGCATGTGAATTTGAATCACCCCATATGAACATAATCACTTCATGAAAGACTTCTCACTGGATCAGATCAAGTCTGTACTGAAGCACACCACTGTCTCATGACATCAATACAGAGCATTTAAATTCACATTCAATTAATTATATTGCATTATTTTTTTTAAAAGCACTCACTAATATAGAATAACATGCATTTGTTTCAACAGCAGGTTAAAACTGCGAGTAAGCTTCATTGGATCTCAAGCAGTGGAAAAATAGTGTACTTGGAGGTGTGGAAAATCCACACAGTATATCTCTCACACTGCTCCAACCCAAGATAACCATGACATAGAAGCTTCACACGCGTGTAGTTCGTGGATATATCTGCTAAAAATAAAAAATAAACAGAAAGAAAAAAGACAGGGAACAGCGAATAAATTGCCCCCAAAAAGTAAGCTATTCAGTTAATCTTCCTGCAAAGATTAAGATGAGAGAAGAAAATAAAGACATAATAAAGCTCACCAATATTGGACGGCCAGAAAAGTACGTTATCCGAAGCAGATGGCATCTAATCATCTTTCCAGGATTTCTAAAATTATAAAAGTATCATCTGAAGTTTAAGGGTTAGTTTATCCATCAAATATTTGCATGGTGGTTTAGTCAGAGACTTGGAAAACAAAAAACCTTGGATAATGGACTGCTAAAAAGTTGTCACCAAATTTAGCTTTGAATTAATAAGAGTTGAATTTTGAAGGGATAAAAAAATGTCACAAAACTGTGGCTCAAATCATTCAGCCCAGCAGAGATGTGAACGTTCAAGAGGTTGAAGATCTTATGACGGTAGGACTGTTAACTTCACTTATTATCAAACCCTTGGTCAAAAATCTATATCTCTTCACTGCCTGATTCCCCTCATAGCATTACACAGTTAGACAGAAAAAAAGGCTCAGCATCCAACTGAACTTCACCTAATTTTGATAACATTACCTAAATATCCCAGAGAACTTAAAGCACAAAAATCAAAAAAAAGTTTCTGAATGAAATACAGTGGCCCCCCACCTAACAGACCTCCCGTGTAAGGGATTTTTGCCAAACAGACCAGCTCTGCAAGCAGTTTTTCCTCCCGCCCAAAAGACAAAATCCACCAAACAGACTTCTTTTAGTTTAAAATTAGTGTTGACAATTGAAATTTTCAATTTTTTATGTAATTGAATTCATGTAAAGGACTTTTTGTCTAACAGACTCATCCCTTGCACCAATCAAGTCCATTAGACGGGGGTTGACTGTAATTCTAACTATCTCTCATGCAAACAGACACATTTGTACAAAAATAAATGGCTATTACATGCGAAAGTTCAGAATATGAAGCTTTTGAAGCAGTGAAAAATCAAAGAGGTACTTCATATTGCAGTGAGTAATTTTTTTTTCCAGAACCAAATCAATGCTTTATAATTCCACTGCGTATACAGATGAGTATAAATTATACTTTTTTCAGGGATAATCTCATTTAAAAAAGTATTTCTTGCAAAACTTGTTTTATAATATGGTTCCTGTCTTATATAGCCACTTTGTTCTTTGAATTTTTGTTCTGTATGTGTGATGATTGTGTGTCATAACAAATAAAGCTCATGTTCGCAGGTCCCAACTGCTTTTTTGCAACTATATTTCATTGAAAAGTCTTCAGGAAAATAAATCCCAACTCCCAGCATGTGTCTTATGAATAAATTACGGAGGGAAAATTTTATTTTTTTTTCGACAAAAATCTTGCACAATGCTTGTTTTTCCCGCAGCAGCTGCGTCCTTCGTCGACCAGTTTACCAGGAATCGTCTTCCAGCATAAAAAATAAAATGAAAACAAACGACGAGAACTTACCGAGACCTTCCAGAAAACGCCGAAAAAGAAACACTTCAATTAGTTGACTTGTTCGTGACGGTTCTCCTGTCGTGCGAAAAATACTCATATGCTTCATACCTCGCGTTCTTCCAATTTATTTGCGCTAATATATGCACATTAATAATGTGTGTAATATATTTGAAAACAATTTTAATTTTCTCATTCGATCATGCTCATGAATTTCTTTTTTTTCGTTCAGGCATTTAACCAGTGCTCCGAAAGAAAGAGATTTGTCTTATTTTAACTAGTGTCCAGACAATCGGGATGAGTGAGGTTCATTTTCAGAAACTGTCGATATAATTCTAAAAATTGCTTGTGTCTTTCGAATTTAGCACACATTTGAGTGCCAGAGGTGCCAGATAATATTTGAAATAACGCATTATTATTGCAATGACAGACTGTGGAAAGATTCTGATGATTCTGAAAAATTCGAAAGTGACTAAGTCTTCCTGAAATTCGAAAAATCTGAAAACTTCGAAAAGCGTATCCTCATATTTTCGATCAAACATCGTCAGGACGCGTTATTTGTAAATAATGTCTTGAATTGTGACGAGACACATTTTTTTTAAAGTATGATGAAATAAAATCTCGAAAATTAACTCATTAGTCTTTCGTGAGTACTGTAATTATATTACTCAAAACGAAGGGCATTATTGCATTGAGAAACTTTTATATGTATATTTTTTGAAAGACTCTATTACGATACGAACATGAAATTGGAAAAATGCTGCCGGAACAGCAATTTGCCAGATGTATTCTTTTTCGTATGATCACGTGAAATCAGCAAGCTTATTTATTATATCTCATAATAATCTAAAATAACTAATTATTTTATTTTAAATCACAGTTGTAGTATTGTGCGATGTGAAGAATTTATTAAACGAGTGTTTAATGCTGATGTATTTCGAGCTAGTATTTCTCGAAGAGATTGAAAACAGAGGTGACGAATTTCGACTTGTTTTATTCCTTTGTTCTATATTTTTTTTTTACAGGTTTCACTCAACTTTCGGTAATGGAAAAGACGCAGAGATTGTGCTTGTTTCAACCGATTGAAAAAAATTATGAACTATTGGATGATGTTAGAGTCGCCGTCTTTGGACTAAATCAAATTGCAACCGAGGATATGCCTAAGGCATTCTGGGATGAATTCCCTCCGCAAGCTGTACTGGTGATCAAGAACCTGGAAACTTCTGATGTGAGACCAAACTTCTACAGGTTTCAGCTAATTGATTTATAACGAAATCTAAATGCTCAGTAAATGCTGGTAATGTCATGTTGCAAAATGAACGAACACGAATGAGCATCATGATGCTACATTCGTCATAGTCATGCAACTCATGCTAGAGTATCAGTTCATTCCCGTTGTTGGCAGATGTCGCTTATGCATGGTGTCCACCGTCCAGGCGTCCCTGTTGAAGCATCCATTTAATTTAAGTCAGTTGTATGATTTCTTCCGGTTTATTGATTCAATCTTTTCTCTTTAATCTATTTTTTTCATTCAGCGAGCAATCCAAGCTGACCAGGTTTTGGAAAAGCTATTAGCTTGGGGATTTCGGGAAAAACCCTCAAGTGCTGAAATCGATGAATTTCCTTGCTCTATCACGTCGTGCCTGTACAACGAAAATGCGTCTTTACGCTGGACCATGCATGCTAGTCCTGATCAGAAGGAGACTTGGGAATTTCACTCCTGGTTCCAAGCGAACGTACACGGTAAATGTAAGCACACGGCACTTTTCCGTGAGGAGACGGTCTTAGATAACTTCAAGCAACAGCTTCCTGATGAAGAAGTATCTTGCGAAGCAGGAAGCCCAGAACCTGCTGCTGGTGAATTCGTTGCCACAATCAAAGTGAATGAAGCAGCAGCAAAAGACGACGAATCAGGCACCCCAACTATCAGCAAAGGAGAAATGACGCAGGAAGAATCGGATCCCAGCTTGGGATCGCTTGGGACCTTGTTTTCCCACTGCACTTTCTTCCCTGGTACCTACTTTTTCAAAATTCAGAAGTAAAGAATCAAACGGTAACTCTGAATCAAATATGAAATATGATTGATCCCAATTTCTGAATTTTGCAAATGGATGCGTTGTCTTGAATGAGACCTTTAAATTCGCTGATTGTGCATCAATCTTTTTTTCCATTTGTATTTGTTCTTATTCCCAGGAACCTACGTTTGTATAAATCAGAAGTGAAGAATCGAATGTGGCACCCTGAAATATAATTTTTCTCGAGTTTCTGCGCATTATTGAAGGGGTTGTTATTTTGAATGTATTTTTAACTTCAATCATTCTGCGCAAAAAAAAAATGTTGGTGCCGCTGCCGATTCCTTTGTGTGTGTGTCTGTGCAGGATTCTCATCTGAATTTTGGCTTTAAATATGCAAAATCATATCTGCAAATGAATTGCCCCGAAAATTACGTTATCCATATCACGTAATAATTACTCATTGATTTCCCTGTAAAGAACAAAATAAGAGAAGAAAATAAAGACAGGATACCGCTCATCATATTCTGAGACTTGGGGTGCAAAGAACTTTGTCAATTGGCGCCGAATTTAGCTTTCATTTGATATAAAGAAATGAATTTTAAAAGCATCGTTGCAGATGAAAAATCGAGGTTAAGTTAATTGGAAATGTGAAAAAGTATCTGAAATGATGAAATCAGAATTCCATGAACAGGCTTCACATAAATCTTGCATTTTAGCTGAAATACTATAGTCGTTTTTCACCATCAGGGGTGTCCTTCATGGTCGCATAGTTGTTACCAGGAATCCTGAAGAAATATTATAGGAATTACCTTGAGAATATCGCAGAAAAAAGTTAGGACCCAGGATGAGCGAAAATCCTTTCCCTTTAACATTCATGTGTACTTTTTTTGTGTGTCCTTCATTTTCGTTAGCTTTTTCTCCCAAGGCAAGGGGTTTAAATACCCCATTCCTCGTTTGCGCTGTTGAATGTGCGGAAGATTGTCTTCTGATTTCAATGTACCCTTTGAAAACATTTTTTTTTTTCAAGTTAAAAAATGTAAATGCCTGCGTGAGGCTGGTGTCATCAGGACGATATATTTCTAAATAGTGTCTTGAATCGTGCGTGAGATAACTATTTTGAAGTGATTGATTGAATTTAAGTTTAAAAATCACTGTACATTGTGTTTATATTACCCCGAACAAAGGCATTGGGGTGACGAACCGCGGAAAGAGATTAATATGACATTCAAAAGTGAAGAATCAAACGTGTCAAATCAAATCATTTGGCTGGGCGAGTTCTGATGTTTTTTTTTCAATTGAACGTTTACTGCATATTAAATATATTTTTAACTAGAGATTTTTCAAAAACAGAGCTGACATTGCTGACCTTTTTCGCTTGCAATATTCTCATTTGAATTATTGGGCGTTCGTTTTGTCGCGATGGAGACGAATACTGTACAATCCTTTTTTCGTGATGATAACCACATGTGGGAAAGTGCGATGAAAATAACTAGACCTGCTTCGTGAAATGATATTGTACCACGTCTTTATTTTTCGCAAGATATCATCCGAGATTATGTTTAAAAACCACGAATGGAGAGGAAGGGTGGACTAATTATTTTCGTATGAAATAACCGCTTGCAAAACTGCAGTAAAATTAAAAGGTTACTGATTTTTTACTCAAAATTCAAGACAGGATTCCGTAATCGAGTTTTCTGAAGATCCATGATACTATAATGTATATAATTCATTTATTTTATCTGTAGACATTCCATTCATGTTAACCAGTGTATATAATAACGGGGAATCAGTGAAGGTTAAATGTATTAATACTGCATATTTATATGAGATAAACAAATATATATTTCATCATCCCCTACAAAACAGTATATTTAATTGGGGGCTTGTCTGGGATTGGAACTTCTGGCATGTATGATGATTTTGTTTCATATAACAAAGCTTATTTTCAGGTCCCAATAGTAGCTTTGTTTTAAATTATCCCATTGTAAATCATTAAAAAATCTCAACTGGGAGCATTTTTCTGATGAACAGGATAGGAAAATATTGTTTCTTTTAGAAACAAATCTTGCACAATAGCCCCCCCCCCCCCTCCAATCTGTGACTTTCTTTGCACAATTTCCCAGAAATCTTTTTCAACCAGGAAAAAAAATAAATGAGGAATGATCGCGAGAATATTGCAGAAATGTTAGACTTGTTTGTGAACGTTCTCCTTCGAATTTTCTGCTGTGCAAAAAAAAAGCTCATATTTTATGCATCGCGTTCCTCTAATTTTTGCTAATATACTGAGCTGATGTATATAAGCAAACATATTGTTTTTCTCATTTCAGTGCTGATGAATCTATTTTTTAAAATTCAGGTAATTTACCAGAGCTTAGACTGGCGGGTGAGGTTTTTCTTATCTTACATAGTATCCTGATGAAAACAGTAGTGAGGCTCATGTTCGAAAAAGTGTAATGATTATCAACCCAATTCAGAACTTGCTTGTGCCTTTTAAATAAGTAATACATATATGTGGGCCAAATAATATTTAAAATAACGCCGGATAATGACAAACTGCGAGAAGTGACCGGCAATGATAAATCTTCTTTGCTTTTGAAGTACTGTAAACTCAAGTACATTGTAGGTTGCAACATGAATACTGTACATGATTGAGTAACCTTTCGAAAATATTGTGCAAGATTTTGAAAATTACCAGATGCTTCCTCAAATTTGAAAAATCGTCAAACTTTATCTTCACATTTTCGATCAAGCAGGTGTGGAAATATTTTTAATGAGCTTCGGTTCAACGTTAGAATGGCAGGACTTTTTTGATTGCAAATTTATTCAAACTCATATTTCAGCATTTATTTGACATCATAAGCAATGTATCAGACATTTCATGCAGCTTTTCAAAATTTTTGTAACCACATTCAAAGATAATGGACTTGAAAAGTTTCTAAATGGGATAATGTAACTTCCAGTCATGCAAACGGATATACTGTATATGACTTTCTATTGAAATCAGTGGCAATTAGATAGGAAAAGATTTAAGATGATTAAAATGGAGCAGTGAAAAATCAGAAGTACTTTTGCTACATTGTGAATTCACCCACGCATACAAATTATGAAAATCCCATTAAATTTTTTTTTTAATCTCATAAATTTAAAAAAGTTCTTCTGGCTAAAAACTTGTACAGTATAATCCTCTGTGAAATTGAAAAATGCGCTAAAATCGGTGCAATTGGCAAGCGAGCGCAAGATTGAAGATATAATCCGGGTCTATTTGCAATCTAATGCCAATTGAATTGAAGATATTATACATTCCAGTTGTAACTTTTTATTCTGTCCACGGCAAAAATGTTTAATTAAACATCAGATGATGAAATTATAATAGGCTTCTAATAAAAGTTGAATTTCAGCAAAATAATGAAGTTGTTTGACATCAGCGATGTCCTTCATCGTCGCATATTTGTTACCGGGAATCTTCGTGAAGAAACAATAATGCAGGAATGACCGTGAGATTCGCAGAAAAAGTTGAGACCCAGCGAATATCCTTTCCCTTTAATCTCCAAGTGTACCTTTCAGTGTCCTTCGTCTTCGCGAGTTTTCTTTCCCGTGCGAAAGGCTTTAAATACTCCATCCGTATTTCCTCTGGATCAGCATTCCGCCGCGAATTCACTGCTGAAATTGGCGGAATATTCTCTTCTTGTGAAGTCTATGTGCATTCGCTTTGTTTTCTTTCAAATGTCGATAATTGAATGATTTCGTCAGGACAATCTTTTTTTTATTTTTGATGCAGTGTCGTGAATCGTCAGTGAGATACTCATTTAGAAGATTAGAAATTAGAAGAGTGTAGTTGAAATAAGTTCGAAATTTTTTGCTGAGATTTGATTGTTACGCAATTTCAAATCTCGGGAAATGATTATTAAGGCATTATATTTATTAATCCTCTCCAGGATGGCTTTACCTCGATTGAAATACAAACATTGGGTTGCAAAAACTGGCGAATTTCTGGCGAACATGAAACTTGAAAGATTTTTCCTCTAATTTATTAAGACTTGAAATCATCAAGCTTATTCACGCCCACCTTTGTATTTATCTAAGGAAGTAATTCCGCAATCAAAAATATGTTTTAATCAAAGTGCAGTGATGTGCTAATGCGATTACGACACGAACATCAAAATGGAAAAATTCTGCAATATGATGAACATCAATTTGCCATATGGATTTATCATCACGTGAAATCAGCGAGCTTATTTATTTTATAGCTAATAATAACGTAGAATAACGACACGTACTCATTTTAAATAATTTTAGATTACAGTTGTATTGGGCAATGTAAAGAATTTTTTAGACGAGTGTTTAACGCTGATGTATTTCGAGATCGTACTTCTCGAGGAGATTGAAAACGGAGGTGATGGAATTCGACTTGCTTTATTCCTTCGTTGTGTCTTTTTTCTTTTACAGGTTTCAGTCAACTTCTGGCCATGGAAAAGACGCAGAGATTGTGCTTGCTTAAACAGATTGGAAGACATGGTTATCAATTGGGTGATGGTGGAATCGCCATCTTTGGACTAGATCAAATTCCAATCGCGGATATGCCTAAGGCATTCTGGGATGAATTTCCTCCGCAAGATGTACTGCCTTTCAAGAACCCGGAAAATTCTGATGTGAGACCAAACTTCTACAAGTTTCACCTAAGTAATTGATTACGAGAGCTGAATACTCAGTAAATGCTGGTCTTGTCATGATGCCAAATGACGGAACGCGATAATGAGCATCAGGATGCTACGTCAGTCACAGTCATGCTAGGCTATCATTTTATTCCGTTGTTGGCAGATATCGCTTATGCATCGTGCCCACTGTCCAGTCTTCCGTATTAAAGTGTCCATTTAATTAGCGTCAACTGCATGATTTCTTCCGGTTTATTGATTCAATATTTTCTCTTTTACCTTTTTTTTTTTTATTCAGCAATCGATCCCAGCTGACCAGGTTCTGCACAAGCTATTCGCTTGGGGATTTCGGGAGAAACCCTCATGTGCTGAAAGCCACAATTTTCCCTGCCGGAATCGTGAATGTTCCTACTTACAACGTTCGTCCTCTGGTTGGAATGTAATTCCTGGGCCAGATACGACGGGCTTCCCGAAGTTAGGTGAATTTCTAACGTTGAAAAGGTCGTTCTACGGCGGAGTCGAAATGGTTCACCTGGAAGTAATCCGTGGAGAGAAGGTTTCACATAGCTTCAAACAACAGCATCCAGTTAAGGAAGCATCCTGCGAAGCAGGAAGCCCAGAACCTGCAGTTGCTAAAGTCGCTGTCACAATCGAAATGAGTGAAGCAGCAGCAAAAGACGATGAATCAGGCAACCCGACGACCAGCAGAGAACTGATGCAGGAAGACTCGCAACCCAGCATGGGATCAACGACCTTGTTTTCCCACTGTACTTTCTTCCCTGGAACCTACTTTTTCAAAATTCAAAAGTAAAGAATCAAACGTGTCGCTCTGAAGTATGACTGGGCCAGATTTCTGAATTTTGCAACTGGATGGGTTGTGTTGAAGGTCTTCTTGAATGAGACCTTCTGTTGATTTTGCACATACAAATACAGTGTTGTTTTCCGCGTGTATAATCTTATTCCCAGGAACCTACCTTTTCAAAATTCAGTAGTGAAGAACCGGACGTGGCACTCGGATATAATTTGGCTCGAGTTTTTGCATATTGAAGGGGTTATTATTTTAAATGTTTTCTCAACTTTTAATTCTGCGCGCGTAAAAAACTGTCAGTGCCGATTTTTTTTGGGTGCGAATAATCTCATTTTAATTGTGTGGTTTTAAATATATGTAACACGGCTCTCTTTTATCGCGATGGAGACGAATGCAACCATTTTGTCGCGATATGACCAGCTCATATGTGAAAGTTCAAATTGAAATAAAAACTCCTGCTTCGTAAAATTATTTGGCACCTCACTTCTCTATTTCTCGCGAAATATAATCCGAGACGACAAACCACGAATGTAGAGGTAGGTTGTACGAATTTTTTGCCTGAAATTATTTCAACTTGCAAAACTGACAAATCAATCTCTGATCATCTAAATCCCCCATAAAGAAAAAAATTACCTTGTCCAGGATACTTGACCAATCACTCATTGATTTTGTTGTAAAAAATATTATAGAAGAAAATAAAGCTCAAACCCATTCATTTGCCTGCTGGTTTATTCAGAGTTTTTTAGGAGTAACGTGTAAGGAACCCCGCATAATGGGCTTCCTGCGCGTTCTTGCCGAACTTAGCTTTTCATCTGATAAGTGATGAATTTCAAAAGCGTAGTTGCTATGAAAAATCAAGGTTGCTTATTTAAATGTGAAAAAGTAATAGCCAAAATGATCAACTATTTTCAATAGAGGACTGTATTCTTTGTCTCCATTTCATTTGCATGCGGGTGTACAATATTTGAGATACAGTATTTCATGTTTAGAATATTGAATTATTTATTTTCAATGGGATCTTGGAAGACATAAGCTATGCATTAGGCATTCTATGTAGCTTTCGAAAATTTTTGTGACCACATTTTTAGGGGTACATAATGGACTTGAAGTGGAACTGATGACGACTTTGTATCAGGGATAAATTTTTTTTTTTGCGCCACACTGAACTATCCTTAAATTGCATTTGAATTAAGTACTGTATCAATAATTCAGTTTAAAAATGAAAACTATTCATTTCAATTGAACCAAAAAGTTTCTAAAGACAGATTTTTATCTACTGTACCAGCAAAAAGATTTTCATCACAGAAATTAGCGAATGCAAACCTGTTTCTCAATCAATGAAAAAACATCAGAGAGTAAGTTAGAAAAAGTGTGTCACAAAAGTGTGGCTTTCGTCATTTAGTTCAGGTCTGAACATTTTACAAATAATTGACAATCTTATATGAAATGACTGTTTGGTTTTTCTTATCAAACATGGGTCATAAAACTGTCTCTCTTTGCTTTCTGATTCCCTCATAGCATTATACAGAAAATGCAGCTTCTTTGTACCTATTTGATTTCTCAACTCCATACTTCGTCACACTTGATTTTACAGACTTGCTAAATGTGCAACACTGCTATCACGTTCGCTTCGCCTTCATGAGCTTTCTCTTTTTGTGCGAATGGCTTTACATACAGCATCTGCTTTCCGCCAAAATCACTATCGCCAAAAAGGCTGATTTAGCGTTAAGTTCCTGGTGTTCCGAATCCAGCCATGCCGTCCAAGAAGTAGTGATAAACGGTTTGGGCCTTGAAGGAGAGAAGCAGGATGTGGCGCCAAGCCTCATGACGTCAGAGGCACTACGCCCGGTGCCGTGATCGATTTTCGATCCTAACCACCCCAATTCTTGATTCTTATTACCGGTTTCCGGTTTCATCTGCCGGCGAAGTTTGAAGGCCAGCGAAAAGCGGGCCTCCAGGATACAGAAATCTGTCATCCAATCCGCGTAAGGGCTAAAAAACAATCGAGGATGAAAATCCGGGAAAAAGTGCGCCACCGAAGCTAATAAAGGGTAAATCCTGAGAGGAAGAACTTGTCATTCGGCCTCAGGAGTCGGAAGGAATTATTTGTGGCCATTTGCGAAGGGAATTATGTGTCATTAACGGCTGTTGTGTGCATATTTTTGGGAACAGTGTCAGTGACTGAATTGACTCTAATGTATGCGTTGCTGTATCTTGGGGAAATTTTAATTAACCGTAATGAAAAGCACTAATTTGTAATTCAGCCCTTATTAACCGAGGTCATGCTGGTAACCCAGCTGATAGTTGAGTTCTTTCTTTCATCAATTTCGAGCAGCATAGTTATTCAGAAAGGTTGAACTTCCTTGCGGAATTCCTCAATTTTGTGACGAGTGAACTTGCATTCTTATGTTATTTTTTAGAAGAGCTGAATCAATATGCTTGGGGCTGTCGTTCCAAATACTGTATATAGTGTCTTTAACAAAGACAGAGTGCGAAATACATTTGTGATAGCATCATTGAATTCATTTGAAAAAGTTGTCATTACCTTTTCGTGTGTGATTATATGATCCGAAACGAGGCGTGGTTATGATGAATCTCGGAAATCGATTCTTATTGTTTTTTTGAAGTAGTACTGTATGATGGGGCGATATTCTGTGCAGTTGAGAAGGTAGTAATTAGATTACCTGCGTTCATTCATGAATGAAACCATGGAAATTCGATCGTATGCCAAAAAGGCTGTTTTCCCCACCGATGATGTACTTCATCGAAGTGTTGTTCATTTCCTGTGCGACTAAAGGTTATATTTACTCGATCCGTCTATCGCATTCCGCAAAATCAGAACTGCTGATTTAGCGGAAAATTCTCTTCTTTTGAATCCAATACGTGTTCCCTTTATTTTCTTTCAAATGGCAGAAATTGAATGACTGAGTGCTGCTGGCATCAGGACGAGTTATTAGGAAAAAGTGTTCTGAGTCATCGTGAGTGAGATTTTTTTTTTGAGTGATCGCATAAAATCTCGAAAAATAACGCTCACTCTGTAGTGAGTCCTCCAATTACATCCTCCGCAACATATAGGGCATTGAATTGGCAAACTTTCATGTACTTTCGTTGAAAAGATCCAATCTCAAATATGATACTATATGAGCATGAAATTAAAACCATTCTGACGGAATTCTCCAGATTTATTCTTTGAATGGAACTGAGTCAGTAAGCTTTTTATTTTGTATTGACCGAAAATAGCCGCTTCATTTATTTTACCCAGCAGGTAAGTTAATCAGCGAATTTCTGTCTTTATCGGTGTACAGTATCTACAATCTGAATCTGATTTCACCTAATACTATTGTATCATGCAGTGTAATTCTTTCATTATAGACAAGTGTTCAATGCTGCTAAATGTATTTTGAGCACGAATTTCTCCTGTAGATCGAAAAAGGAGTTGACGATTTTCGTGTTGATTTATTCCTTCGTTCTGCAATTTCTTCCAGGTATCAAAATTCCGGTCATGGAAAAGGAGCAGCGATTGTGCTTGATTATATATGTTGGAAAATCTGATTATCAGTTGGGTTATGAAGGAGTCGCCGTCGTTGGACTAGATCTAATTCCATACGAGGATATGCCTGAGAAATTCTGGGATGAATTCCCACCGCGAGAAATACTGCCTTTCAGAAACCCGGCTAGTTCTGATGTGAGTCAAAGCTTTGTAGAGGTGTTACCTGATCAATTGATTTCGAGAGCTGAATACCGTGAATGCTTGTCATGTCATGGTGCGAAATGAACATGATTTTGGCCAATGCAATCGAGAAGCATCAATGAGAGCATTGGAAGGAATTGATACCATCAAACCCATGCTGGACTGTCGGTTTATTCCGTTTTTGGCGGATGTCGTTTATACCTGGTGTCCACTGTCCAGGCGGCGTCACTGTCAATTTGTTTTACATCAGCTCTATGATTTTTTCCTGTTCATTGATTCAATATTTTATCTTTCTCTGCTACTTTTTTCATTCAGCAAGCAATCCCAGCTGACGATGTCTTGGAGAAGCTATTCGCATGGGGTTTTCGGGATAAACCCATATGTTCTAAAGAGCATACTTTCCCTTGCTGTAAGAAAGAGTGTCTCGTGGGGATGAAGCGCCCGTACTGCGGCCGGATGAATCTTCCAGATACGACGTGGCTTCCAAAGCTGGAGGAATTTCTTTCGTGCAAAGCGTACAGTAGCCAACCGCGCGAATATTCCTTCTACGAGCTTTACCGCGCTGAGATGGTCCCATTAGATGACTTGAAACAACAACTTCCAGAAATACCTTCCGATGCAGGAAGCTCTGAACCTTCTGCTGTACTGCTGAACTCTGCTGCGACGATCAAGATGAGTGAAGCAGCAGTAGCTGAAGACAATGAATCAGACTCTTCATCTACCAGCAGCAGTGAAACACCGCAGGAGGAACCTTAACAGTTTGATGCCGAAGTGCTGAGGCAGGAAGAGTCGCTGGAACGTACGTTTTCAAAATTCAGAAATGAAGGATAAAACGTGTCGCCGTGAAAACTGATTTGGCCCGAATTCTGAATGCTGTAACTGAATGCATTATGTTCGATGTCTACTTGAATGTGACTTTTCGCTGATTCTGCGCATGAAATCTTTTTTTCTGCCCACGTTTTCAAAATTCAGAAGTGAAGTACCGAACGTGGAACCCTGAAATTTAATTTGGCTCGAGTTTTTGCATGTTGAAGCGGTTGTTATTTTGAATCTCGTCTGAAATTCAATGATTCTGCGCATATACAAAGAACTCGTTAGTTCCGACCCTTTTTTTCTTTTGAAATATTACACAATACTATAACATGAATTTCAGATTTAAATATGTAACATCGGTTATACGTTTCTTCGGTTATACGTTCATTTTGTTGCGATGATAAGTTGATAACCACGTTCGTATGGATAAGTTCGATTAAAATGTAAACTCGTGCTTCGTAAATGATTTGGCACGACATCTTTATTATTTGCGTAATATAATCGAGATGACGAACCATGAATGCTCGATCGAGGTAGGATGTGCGAATTTTTTGAATGAGATCACTCAACTTGCAAAATGATGAAATTTACAATTCAGTGTATGTAAATATGAATCACCTGTGGATAGTCACTTCAGTACTGTACATGTTTCCACTGGAACAGATTAAGCCTGTTACCATTAAGGACCACTGCTGAACGCACAAAGGCTCCTATAGAATACCCAGGAATCAAATTTCTAAAATTTTATTCCTTGCATACAAAGAACAGAAAAACACTCACTAATTTAGAGTGATATTTGATCACCTGTTCTCACAACAGATCAAAACTGTGCAATTAGCTTGATCGGATCTCAGGCAGCAGTGTAAAAAGTGTGCAGGAGATGTGGAAAGCCCACACAGTATCTCTTACACTTCTCAAATTCAAGAAAACCGTGACACAGAAGCTCCACCAGCGTGTAGCTTGTCCTTGATATTCGTGATAACTACCCAGCAAATAATTTGGACGTTTCAAAACGCCTTGCCAGCAGTATGCCATGCCGTTTTGGCATGAACGTTGCAAAAACGTCATCTTGGTCGCCACTTAATGGGTCTGCCCTGAACGTTGAGGCAGACAATAGCTAACGCACTCTCATACCATTGGCAATGGGGTTCAAAACCGTTGACGCAGGGGCGCGCAGATGATTGCAGCCGCTAAGGGAATGGCGTTGGCAAGGGTCTGGCAAAGCGTTGAGAAACGCCACTTGCAAGAAACATCGCGCAAACTGCAGTGAAATTCACCCAGAGTGTATATTATAGACCTAAAAACAATATGTAGATTGCTGAATATTGAACCTTTGATACTTCCATTGCTAAGATATGTAATACAACTGGAATGCTTGCAGAACACTTGAATGTTGGTGCCAATTTGATGCACTGTGTAATAACAATGTATGGGCAATGTTGAAGCAAGGTACAAATGATGTTGAAACGATGTATAAATGATGTTGAAACGATGTATAAATGATGATGAAATGATGATGAAGCGATGATCAAACTACATTGAAAGATGATCAAACAATGTATAAACGATGATGAAGCAATGATCAAACTACATTGAAAGATGATCAAACGATGTTGAAATGATGATGAAACGATGATGAAGCGATGATCAAACTACATTGAAAGATGATCAAACAATGTTGAAATGATGATCAAACTACGTTGAAAGATGATCAAACAATGATGAAATGATGATCAAACTATAATGAAATGATGATGACAGGACGTCATGCAATATCCCAATTCAAAATGCATAAAAAAAGTATTATTCATTAATACAACTTCTTTCCCATTCACACAAACCCAGACACACACATACACACACACACACACACACACACACACAATCACACACAAATAAAGCAAGACAAGCATTTGCACAATCAACACAAGGAAAATTTTCCAACCCTCTGAGGATTCGAACCACAACCCCACAACTAGGAGCGCGCGGCTTTACCAACTGTGCCAACAATGCAGCATGACCCTACGTTCTGTGCTCTAGGGTAATATACTACATTTGCCTGAATAATTGCCGTCTATTATTTTCAACAGATGGCCCTGCAAATATAATCAAGAAAGGAATGTTCTGGAAAGAAAGAGAATACTGAAGTGAATGTATCCCACCTTGATTGGGACATGCAAGAAAAGTCAGGACATACAAGAATGTCCCAACTTTGTACATCATGACTTTTCTGATTTGTGTACCCATTATTGAAGTTCTCTTTCTGAAACTGGTGATCAAATGATGTTCAAACAATGTTCCAACAGTGTTCAAATGATGTTCAAATGCTGTTAATAAAATGCTGTTCAAACAATGTTCAAACAGTGTTCAAATGATGTTCAATGATGTTCAAACAATGTTCAAACAATGATCAAACAATGTTAAAGCAATGTTCAACTGATGATGATGAAGTGATGTTGAACACTTGATGTTTGAAGCCTTGATGTAATAATTTTAGTAATATTTTTTCTTAAAAACTATTCTGCTGATGGATGAAAAACTTCAGCAAAGTTCAATATTAATTTTCTGTAACAAATTCAAAACCAAACTTATTCCTACAGCTGGATCCAGCTCCAAAAAAGTGTTATATACTGTTGAAAAATAAAGCAATGTTGAAAAATTCCCCCAAAGTTTGAAGACCTATACAAAGCTCACTAATTAAGATAGAAGGGTGTTTAAAAAAAGTAAAATGTTCCCCAAAACAAGGGCAATCCATACGTTTCCTTAAACTAAACGATGAACGCGCGATGAACGTGCGATGAACCCTCAATGATCAAGCGCTGTTCAAGTGAACATCGCTTGATCATCGAGCGTTCATCGATTGGTTCAAGGAGACATGTGGATTGCCCTTGTTTTGGGGAACATTTTGGTTTTTTTAAAGATCATCCTATCTCAATTAGCAAACTTTTTATAGATCTTCAAACTTCGGGGAAATTTTACCCACTGCTTAATTTTGTAATGGTTTTTAACAATTCTTCAAAGCTGAAACAGCTAGAACTTCAATGTTTGATTGAATATCACTGTGAACATCATGTTTTGCTGTGATGATCTTATTGTGCACATAACCCATCAATTCATTCAAGTCATTATAATTTTGGCAAAATCTATTGAAATTCTGTCAAAAATATTGAACACCTTACAATATATATTTGCCTTCCCATTGTGTCACTTGCACAAGTATTACCTATAAAATATACATAAAATAATTTATGACAAATGATGATGAAACAATGATGATTCGCTGATGAAACGATGATGATTTGCTGATGAAACAATGATGATTTGCTGATGAAACGATGATGATTCGCTGATGAAACGATGATGAAATGATGTTCATTTGCTGAAGAAACGATGTTCATTTGCTTTGAAGAAACAATGTTCATTTGCTGTTGAAGCAATGATGATTCGCTGATGAAACTATGATATGCAATGATGAAGCAATGTTCAACTGATGTCATTGGGTGAAACATATGTTATTTTATGCTGTATTTTATGAATTATTTATTATGTATTTTGGACTGGGAAAATCACATTAAATGCAGTATAAAATCAAATATTTTTCTAATTAAATATATTCCTTCAGCATTATACTTTTGCTGATTTATTCTCATTTATTTCAATCATTCTAAAATTTCAAATGAAATCCCCTTATTTATTTTACTGCAGCATAATCACTTGCCTTCCCATTGTCAACGCATTCCCAATGCAATCACCAATGCAAATGCAAATGGCACCCGTTGTCAACGCATTCAGAAAGGGTTCTGCAATGCCACTGAAAACAGCCTCTCCCCAATTTTCTAAATTACGATTTTAATATGCATTGCCAAGGTGCTGCCAACGCCACTTACAAATCGTCATTTTTTCACAATGTTGGGAGAATGCCATTGACAGCGCCTTCTCATTGCGTGCCCCCAACGTCAATAAAGAAAAGGGCGTTGGAGGCAATCAGCCCTAATGAGACAATGGCGCTGCAACGGTGTTGCCAACGCCAATGTCAAAACGTTCCCCAGCCCAACGCCCCCATTCTTTGCTGGGTAGGAGAATAATATGACAGGAAACTGAATAAATAGGCTCAGAAGTAATGAATTTCAAAAGGATATAGTTGCCATGAAAAATCAAAGTTGCTTTGGGAAAGGTACAAAAACGTCTGAAATGATTCAAGCTCTCTAATAGATGACCGTTTCCTTCAAACTTGAAATATTTCTTTGCTTTAAATATGTCTAATTATTGAATCATTCAATTATTTAAAAAGAGAGCTTGAAAGTCACACGCAATGGATCAGAAATTGCATGCGGCTTTCCAAACTTTTTCAAACCACATTTTAGAGATAACGGACTTGAAAGTGGAACTGATATCAACTTTTTCCTGAGGCGTCTTTTTCGTTTTGTTTTTTAGCGTGTCACACTAAATATTCCACTAAATATGCAATTACGACATGAACAACAAATTGGAAAAATTCTGCAGGATGAACAGCAATTTGCGACATGGATTTTTTCCAAATGATAACGTGAAATCAGCAAGCTTATTTATTTTATACCTAATAATAACGTAGAATACCAACCGGTACTCATTTTAAATAATTTTAGACTGCAGTTGTATAGTTTTATTACTGTGCGATGTAAACAATTTATTAGACAAGTGTTTAATGCGGTCCTAGTTCTCATTCATAATCACTAAGAGTTCATTAAAATTATATTCATCAAATGTTGGAAGCAGTGCAAGGTCAAGGCAATTTTTTTTACACCAATAAATAACCAAGCTGTATTCCTCATAAGTTGAAATGTAGGCAGCATTCAAAGAATTGTTGAAATCAAAGCAAATTCAATTGTGAGCAGTGGAAAATCATGCAAAAAAAGCAACTATTCAACAGGACACCAGGTGTCGGGTTGCACTGACGGCTACTCCGTAGCCATAGCAACGTCTTAAAGAAAGGAGAAGAGAAAGTGGTACCAGGCACGGATGGGCAGGATGGAAGCTCCTGCTACCTTCTGGTAAAACGCCTGCTACCTCAAAAGTTTATTATATTTTATCTCTAAGACCGTTTCCGGTCAAAGTTGAAAAGGAAGCCAGCGGTGCCCAGTATGGTCACTCGCTGACTTTGACTGCTAGGAAGAACATCCCTCTTGAGATCTCCAAGTGTCCAATTGTTAGCTATCCCAATTGTGCTTTGTGTCATTGATTGATATTTGTCTGGAAGGTGTTGTGTGTTGTAATTGAGCTGTCATTGCTTGTGTGAGTTGTATGTTTGTCCAG